TCTTCCTTCAAAGAGCAGTCAGGTGGTCTTTCCACTGTAAGAGAAACGGCAGGTGACTTCTTAACCATGACAGCTCTGATGATGAAAGAGTAAAGAACCGCCTCAAAGTCGAACAGTGTACCCAGAGATAAGGTTCACAGCTGCAGTCTTACATCGTGGTAGCCACCGTACTTCTCAGTGAGCGAGAATCAAACGCTTGACTCACTGTGGAGGTTGGTGGGGCAGAGAAATACCGTTTCCTACAACTAGGCTGGAGACACACCCGGGACCCCCAACAAAGGGAGGGGCAGGAAAAGAGAAATAATTGGTAAATATATAGAAAATGTTTCAATAGAGAAAAGAGGAAACAGAGCACTTCCTAGCCCTGTTATCAGCAGAGACAGAGCTAACACTGGGGGTACCAAGCTTGAAGAGCCTCACTGGACAGGTCCAGGGTATGCGTTTCTATTTTTGGCGGTGGTTCTATAGCGTATGTGCTCATTCATACCAAGGTGAGTTCCATTAAAGTAACATCTTTGTGTTACTTACTAATGCCCTTGGAAATAGAAGACATTTGTCTCCTACTGCTGTAGTTACTTTACCAAATTAAAGAGAGTATGTTTCTAGTGATAAGACTTCTTCAAAAAAATATACGTGTTTAGGAAATAAGTTATCGATGTAGTTAGATGTCTTCATGAAGGTGTTTCAGAGTTAATTTCAGGAGTTACAAATTCAGAAACAACAATAGGGAAATGATATCATCATATAAATGAAGGTATTTTGGTTTTGGTTTCTGCTGAAATTTCTTTGGTATTCATGACTTTTTTTTTTTTATCTTATCTAAAATGTACAAAAAGCTTACGGAATGTCCCACTTGGCTTTATGCTCACTAATTAGTTATCTAAAGCCAGGAAAATATATATTCCATATGCACAGAAGGAATGGACAGAAAGTAGTCAAAAAGAGAGAGAAACAGAAAAAGAGAGAGGAAAACAGGAAAAATCATAATTCAATGAATTATAATTTTGAATATTTCACTACCTGTCATTTCTGCTTCGTGATAATATGACCTCTTTAATAGTTGCCTGGTGATAAATCTATGTAGTTGTTTATTAAGTTTACATTTTGAAATTGAACAAAGTTTTAGACATCAAATTGTCTCATTTGTTTAACATTACTTAAAATGCAATGTGGGGAAATTTTTTAAGTAAGGCATGCAAGGAGCCAGGCTTGCTAGGTGTTCCCCACAGTCCCACAGCTGAGCTAAGCTGTCCCTTTGTTGATGTTGAACAGACCTGCCTTGCCTCGTCAGGGCTGGGTACTGACATCCCCTATTCTCCACAAGAACGAACCTAATACACATGTGCCCTGGACTTGATAGAGTGCTAGGTGCTGGGGCCCTGATGGGAAGCCAGAAGCGACAGGCAACTGTGGTCCTTGGCTTCTAATGTTGCGAACCTGTGGAAGTGAAGGGATCGTCCATAAACAGGTACGTCCACCAATGAGGAAGCACCTATGCTGATAATGCTTAGTGCCATCTGGGACTGGATGGATGAAGTTGAGCACTGGGATACCTGCAGCAAACACATTCTCTGTAGAGAATATTAGAGTGACAGCTATTTGCACCTGGACTTATGGAGTGTTTTGTGATTGCGGCCACAACTTTAATAGAAGGGGTGACATTTTAGGACTATTTTAGAGAAGTGTCCAGAAGTGCAAAGGTAGGAAAAACAAAGCATTGCATGTGTCATCCTGTGGCTCATTTATGTTTTTGTCAGTATAGGTTTCACTGTAGGGGTGACATGGACCTAGTTAATCGCGTCCTTTGGCTTATGTATCCGTCACCCGCACTGAAGAATTGGGCTTTATGGCTGGCTGAGTTGCACAGGGTTAAAAGGAGGAAGCAATTTTTTTTTCCTTGTGACAACATAAAAGAGCATGAATCCTCCCAGTGGCCTTTTAATTTCTGCTACTCAGGTTGTGCCTGGAATCAGATGCCACCACAAGTCACTCTGAAAGGCTCTAAAATTGGGGCCGCCAATATCATTTTGATTGTAAAATGAATACTCCAGGCAGAAAAATTAATTGGAAAGGGAAAATTTTATTTCTGAACTTCAGCAGAATTTGACCAATTCTCAGGAACACTGGGGAAGTCCGTCATTAAGGGCTAGAACCTGACTCAAGTTAATTTCTAGAAACATCTGTTATGAGAGAGATCACACTCCTTTCATCTTCTAAATTTCAAGGAGGGCGCTCAAGAAATTTAAGTTCACTCGCAGAAATGTTACGTGAACAAATTCCTTCCAACCACCCTCAAATATAGTGTGTGTATTTTTGAATGTAGGGAGTCAATCTTTATTTACTTTATTCTTCTTAATTTACATCTCAGTTTAAGAATGTAATGGCTTTGGGTTACATTTTAATTGGTAACCAAGAGAAAAAGTTGGGTATATTGTCATCTTGAGATTACACAAATAAGCTACTCTATTAACTATATTTTAACATGATGCCTTACAGCTCATTTGATAATGGTGTAACACTGAAAACATGAACCAAAGAGCTTGAATCTTTTTTCCCAATCCAAATATGACAGCTCCTGCAAAAGGTTGGTGGACGTTAGACAGCCACACAGAGACCAAGCCTAGAGTCATTTGGGGAAACAGAGTCAGCTAAACACAGAGTCAGACACTGAAGCTCCAGTACTATCCAGCCTTTTCTGACATTTATCTGCTCTGTTTTGAGATATTTGTGGCCTATTTGAGTACCTTGTTCTGTCCATAGGACAATCTTCCTTCTCTCAAAGGTATTGCCTATGGAGATATGAAAAATCATGTTGCCATTAATGCCCATATCTTAGTAAAAAAAAAAAAAGTTGGAGTGATCAAAGTTGAAAGAGAATTCTATTTTCAGCTGCTATAAAATTAGAATGCAAGATAAATTCTAGGGGAGAGTGCTTACTAATATAAAATATTCAATTACCTCCCCACTGAGATACTCAACAGAGTCATTATTTACTTCAACAGTTTAATTGCAAAGGATAAACAGATGTTTGTTATTTTTACAAGCACTGTGTTAAGACACTTCCTGTTTTACCAGTCAGTAAAAGGCACTACGGAGTATTAATTTGAGAGGTTTTTTTTTTTTTTTTCCTTCCTGACCTAGAACTCCTGTTAATGAAATCAAGGAAAAGTAGGGTATATTGAACATCATGTCAGGAAGTGCTGACATCTGAAGATGTAGCTTTCATAATTCGAAGTAGCAGTTATCTTGGTTGGTATTAGGGATATTTTAGCTGAGTTTCTCAGGCTAATTGCATTAGAAATCCTTCCCTTTAGCATGAAAAGTCTGACTTGTTGATAATTTATGAGACTATTGCAGTGCCTGCTTTCATCGCCGTGACCAAAATTGGTATAAATATTCACGTATATGGGTAGGAAATGTCACAGGGAAAGATTCAGGATTACATTGATGAAAACTGGCATAACTGGTAAGTTTATGTGAAAGAAAGAAAGAAAGAAAGAAAGAAAGAAAGAAAGAAAGAAAGAAAGAAAGAAAGAAAGAAAGAACACTGAATGTCTTCCATATGCAATCTGTTTATGGCTGTTGTGTTATTCCTCCAACTTCACTAGTAATAGCAACATGTTAAGCAAGAGTATCTGGCATTAATATTCAATTATTTGTTTAATGAAGGCCTTTCCATTGGCTGCACTGGAATTAGGCTTTGAAAACATCTGGCCACTTAAATAATTCTTTAAGTAAAAACTTCATCTTATTGATTCATTTAATAAAAATTTATCATAGAAGTGCTAAGGGTCTAACCAGGATTTTTCACATTCTAAGCAATCTTTTCCCACTGAGCTACATCCCAGCACTGTAAGTCATTTTAATCACTATCAAGCTGCAAAAGCATATATTGTGTTGTCTGAAGATCTGAGGTGGGGTCCAAGTGCACACAGACACAGACACTTGTATGCTCACACATGCACACACACACACACACACACACACACACACACTCACAAATGATAATAAATAATGTCTAAATTTTTTTTAAGTGCAGAGGCACACCCCAGGTGGAAGCCACATATACTGTCCATCCTTAAAGTTGAGCTTCAGAAAGTTTCTGGGAACAACTCCAGATCGTTAGTTTATAGGTCCCAGCAGAAGCTGTGGCATTTCCCTTTTGTACTCAAGGTCTGAGACTGTCTGCTAGCATTCTACTCTCCATCCACTGCATTGTCGAGTTGTGTTCAGGAGGGAGAAATACGTATTCTTTTCTAGGTACGTGTGACCATGTTTCTTTGTCCCTCTCTAGACTGTTCTCATTTGGGTCCTTCAGACAGTAAATTATCTTCTCCCAAACTCAGAGTACCACCAATTTACCCTGAATTTTACAGGAAGTTTGTGTTTTTCACATTTTTGTTATTAATGTAAGTTTCTTGTCACATTGACTTTTGGAAAAAGGTTGTTGGGGATTGAACCTAGGAATCCCTACATAACATTCTACAACCAAGCTACCCAATTTAAAACACATGAATGCAATGGCTAGTGTTTAAGATTCTTATTAATTGCTTATAATTTTTCCTGTCCTGAAGCCTACCCCTATGGCCTGGACACTGACCCTCTCCTAGTTTCTTTCTTTTCTTCTAGCTCAACACATTTGTTAGTGGATTGTAGACGGAAGATCCATCTTTACTTGTATGTATTGTGGTCTTTAGTTCATATTTTACGAGTCAAATAAGAGGTCTCTTTGTACCTATTGTGTCCCCAAGCACACACTTGGAGCAATTTCTCAATTAATTATTGATTTACATGTCACCTGTCCTTAACAACCATGAATCTACAACCCAAGAGCAAAGCTGCATATGTTTGCATACCCAGCAGGCAAGAGAGATCATAAGCATTTGCTAAATGACCAACTCCCTGATCTTATGTTGCAAAGTAGCTGCCAGCTTTCCTTAGAAATGACAATGTGATGACCTGGATTTTGTCTTACATGTTTTCCTACAGTATCTGCCATCATGGTGCCTGTGTTACTAATTCTTATGGGGACTTCGGCAACACTGCAAGCTGACTTGTTTTCTGACAAAAAGTGTAAGGACGTTCTATTTGATAATGTTTGGTTTTGTGAAAGCACATTATAAATAGGTAATAGGATTTTCTCCTAAATAAGCACTCAATTGGTAAATTTTATAAAACAGTATAAACTCTTGAGATTTAAGAAAGCAGTGTGGGCAGAAATGTAAATTCCATGCTTCACTGGGAGATTCAATTCTAAGAGTACACATGAGCCTCCTGGAGAAAAGCAGCCCCTGGAGACCTCATTCAGGAATTCTGCCTCCACCAGGAATTTCACAAAAGGCCTCACAAGGAGCAAGAACAAAGCTCTGCCATTTCTCTTTTCTTCCCTGCTCCCCGCCATGCTGAAATTTGTTGATCTAAGGGTTAAGTATGATGACGGAGGTTAAGAGAGGAAAACTGTCTGATGTTACCAGCCCATCTCCATCTAGAACTCTCTGTAAAGATCACATTTCACATGAACACCACGTAGTTGAAATACACACAGTGCATCTAAAGCAATGAATTTGTGGGCTTAGTTAGCTAATTTAGATTTGAAAAACCACAGCAGCCAGTGGCTGCTGGAATAAAGGTGAAATACGTAGACAATCCTGAAAACTTTGCGTGTCAAATGCAGGTGCAGAGTCACGAAAGGCCTTTAAAGATCAGTGGAAAACACTGACAATGTAGTAAATGAATAAATGAAAGATTATAATATGTGTATCACAATGGAGAGTGCTGCCCTAGCTCAGGTGAAAAAATTTTTTAAACATAATTTTTTATTACACTTTTATTCACTTTGTATCCCCCCCCCCATAGCTCCTTCCCTCCCAATCCCACTCTCCCTTCCCCTTCTCCAGGCATGCCCCATCCTAAGTACACTGATAAGTGAAGTATTCCTGTCCTTCCTCTGACCCTAGTCTATCAGGTCTCATCAGGAGTGGCTGCATTGTCTTCCTCCGTGGCCTGGTAAGGCTGTTCCCCCGTCAGGGAGAGGTGATCAAAGAGCAGGCCAATCACTTCATGTCAGAGACAGTCCCTATTCCCAGTAGGTGCAAATTTTTAAGAAGTTGTTTAAACATATGCCCAGAGCAAAATAACAAAATAATATGTGGATTGATTTTTTTTTTACCTTCTTCTTTTTGCTCATTGTGTATTGCAACATCTCTACATTGAGTGGATACTGATTCTTTAATTAAATGAAATGTTTTATTTTGAAAGCAAATCTTTTTTTTTTTTTTACTCAAATACTTTTGACTATGGCTCATAATGAGAAATGCATATGTTTTACATCATGAATCACTGATCTTATAAATAAGTAGGTACTTTTATGCAATGGAAACTAGATGTCTATGAGATAGCTGTTATCATGTTTGATATAATGTTTACTCCTGGTGTGTTCTATTTATCTTCTATACTACTGTAAAAAAGAAGGGCATTGGAACTCCAGAAGCCATGGAGTTCTATGGCCATCACATCCCAGTCACTTGCTGTGAAGCTTATCTTGAAAACTACAGCTACTACTGACTAACAATATGGTAGGCTATTCATATTCAAGAAAAACATGTGAAAGGTACAGGTGACCCCCGAATGATGGACTAGTAATAACTTTAAGAAAACTTTTGCCAAATTATTTCAGTATTATATATTGTAATAACACACCAGTATGTGATTTAATAAAATAAATAAAATAGGCTAAGGACTGGTAATATAGCTCAGTGGTAATATACCCGCCTTGCTTTCACTGACTCTGAGTTTTATCCCCAACACCATCTGCAAAAAAGTGCCCTTTATAGATAACTGAACATTAAATCATTTGTTTTTTTGTTTTTAATTAATAGTTTTACTGCTACCACCTATCAATTTTACAATTAAAGCCACTGGATTAGCTCAAGTTCTTTTACACTGGGAACCAAATCCCGACCAAGAGCAAAGGAATGTCGATATACAATATCATGTAAAAATACATGCTCCAGAGGAAGATGAAGTAAGTGCTGGGTTTGATTACTATCATTAATGAGAGTGAATATTCATTTTTAAGCTGCATTTTTCTTCAAGAAATGAAAACCTTGATAAAGAATTATTAGAGATCCTCTTGTTGTGTTACCAGTAGCGTCTGTAAAGTGAATTAGATGAATGCTTATTATTTAAAGTAAGACAGTAGCATAGAAGGCTTTACCTCAAGGAAGATCCTCTTCCTTAAAGAACACTCCATACTGCCCACTGTCTATCTCCCACATCTTTCTCCCTCCCTTCCTGCCTCCTTCTCCATCTCTATGTATGTGAGAGAGACAGAGCAAGAGAGAACGCACTGTTTGCAATGTGCTTGTTAGTGTGCGTGTGTTCCTGTGTGTCTGTGGGTGTGCATACAGTGGTATGAAGCCCACGGGTTGATATTTTTTTAATCACTCTCCAAAACCTTTTATTTTCTGAGAGTCTGAAGTCTCTTACTAAATCACAAACTCAGCAATTTTGCTAGGCTGAAGAGCCAGTGATACTCAGGCATCCACCTGTCTCTGCCCTTTCTCCAGTGCTGGGGTTACAGGTCCATGCTGCCAGGTGACTCCAATTTTTTATGTGTTTTGGGACCCAAACTCAAGACACTGTGCTCACACAGTAGACACTTTATTGACTGAGCCATCTTCCCGGCCTACTTGCCAACTTTTGAAGTGTAATGTATTTGATAGTACTGTTTACATGTGTCCTAAAATGTCAATAAAACTAGAAAAAATAGTACAAGGGAAATGTCAGAAAACCCAAGGTCAAGACCAAGTTCATTCACTACCTGGGGTTTTGAGTTGATTTCTTGGAGCCTCTGATTTATAATAAGAATGTTATATGCCTGTTGTGAATCAGATTTGTAGTAAGGTGAAATAAGGGAAATGTGATCTGTATTAATTATTTTGCAGTAAATATAACACTTTGAGGACTTTCCTATAAAGACATTGCTCCTGGAGAGGAGATTGGCATTAAGATGAGAATCAAGGGCAACTTGAGCCTTTATTAAAAATGCTATTTGTTATGAACTCAATGGCTGGATCTTTGACCTCCCCCCCAAGGGAGGAGCAGCCTTGCTAGGCCACAGAGGAGGACATTGCAGCCCGTCCTGAAGATACCTGATAAGCTAGGGTCAGATGGAAGGGGAGGAGAACCTCCCCTATCAATGGACTTGGAAAGGGGCAGGGACGAGATGAAGGAGGGAGAGTGGGATTGGGAGGGAATAAAGGAGGGGGCTACAGCTGGGATACAAAGTAAATAACCTGTGATTAATAAAAAAATAAAAATTATCTAAAAAAATGCTATTTGTTGTTAAGAGAGGAATATTTTAGCTGAATGATGGTGGTGCATGCCTTTAGTGCCAGCATTTGGAAAACAGAGGCAGTTGGATCTCTGAGTTCGAGGCCAACCTGGTCTACAGAGGTAGTTCCAAGAGAGTCAGGGCTACATAGAGAAACCCCATCTCAAAAAAAAAAAAAAAAAAAAAAAGATCCCAACCAAACAGACAAACAAACAAACAAAAAAAAAAGGGACTATGTTCACATGTCACTGAGAAACTAGATTAATATTACAATGGTCCTTTTCTAAGAAAATTACTTCATTCCATTTTACTTATGTATGTATCATTTTCAAAGTGGAGTCAAGGGCCTATTTGATTAATGTTGTTGTTCTCTTACATGTCATGACTGGTGGGTTTTATTTTAGTATAATACCAGGAAGACTGAAAGCAAATATGTGATCCCCCTTCATGAAGGCTTTGCAGCTAGTGTGAGGACCATCCTGAGAAGCAGCCGCTCTCCTCTGGCCAGCATTTGGGTTTCAGCTGAACTCAAACCTCCACCAGGTAAAGGAGTCATATGGGACATCCAAGTTTCATATTTCATCTCTCAAAACAGGAAGGCAATGCCACTTTTCATTAGCCCAGCACCACCCCTTCCAATCCCCTTTCACAGAACCCACCTCCCACAGGCCATCCACCTGGCACAGCTGTGAAAGGCACCCCTGAATCTATACTGGCCTCCAGTGGAAGTTGGGGCTTCTGATACGCATAAGCAGAGAAAGCTCTGATTAAACACTTTAACACAAAGCAACACAGAAACATGGTGGGAAATAAGGAGGAGACCGGCCATCAGACCCTAGAATATGTCACTTCCCTAAGTCATACATGTCTTCACCCCACATTTATTAATGTTTTTCAAGTCTTTCTCCTATCCACTTCATCAGAGAAGACGATCGTGCCTCCTGTATTATTAGTCACCTTTTTTTTTTTTTTTTTACTATAACAAATATGTTAGATAATACACCTATTTTAGTTTCTGGTTTTGGTGGGGGTTTCCACCCATGACCTGTCAGGCCTCCTGTTTTTAGGCCATATGACAGTGCAACACGCCATGCCCAGAAGCAGGTGGCAGAGGTCCTATAGCCAGGAAACAAAACAGAGGCATAAAAAGGACAAATATCCAACCATCATACCCTTTAAAGATGTGTCCCCAAACACCTCTCAAAAGGCCCCAACTCAGAAAGCCCTTTCCACTTCTTAATACTATCAAGAGCTGCAAAACAATGTCTTAAAAAAAATAAACCCAGGGATACGCTTAAACCAAATCTCGAACTCTGTTAGTGACAACACAGCTCCTTGCAGTTACTCATTCTTCTTCCTCAATGAGTTCTCAACAGGCTTGACCCTAACTAAGGAGCTTCAAAGAACACAGATGAATATAAATGTGAGTCATCGTGTACCTTGCATTAAGCCACTCTTCCACCTTTACTGAGCAACTGAACTTGTTCTATATGATATTTCTTTCAGTGTTAAGTTTCTAGAGTTCTCTTTATTCCCCGAGTACCCCCCAATACATGTTCACACTAATCGAGTATGATTTATGCCACTAACCAAGGGATAAGTCATACTGAATTATTCATTGGGTTGGAACTGGGAAACTACTGACTGACTTTGATATGACATAAACTGTGTGGATGTTTAGTATATAGATGCATGCATGCATGCACATAGAGAATGAAGTGGGGAGGCCTGTATTTCTGGGCTCATGAGTGTGTTCATGGATTCAATTAAATTTGATCAAAAGCAATCTAAGACAAAAGCATTAAAGCATCCATACTGCTGGTGAACAGATTGTTTCATGACCTTATATTCTAAATAACACAGCCCAACCACTAGTTACAGAACACTAATATTAAGTATTCTATGCTATCTTGAAAGGATTTATATTAGAGCTGAGGCTGTTTAAGTGATACACAAAATGACATTATATAGAAACCCAAGCATTGGGAGGTTTTAGTACGGGGAAAAGTTCTGAAACCAATACCAGAGATAGAGCGACATGATTGTAAAGACATAGACATATGTGTATATGTCATGTATAATATGCATATATGTATTACAAGGCAAACTAGCCAATCACTTTCCTGTCTTCAACTCTATATGACAGTAAGAAGCTCTCTGTCCTCACACCTTTCATCTGTCTGTTGAAATACACTCAATGACAGTGATAAAAATTAATTTATAGCTGTTTTAAGGGGGGGGGGGAAACCCTTCCATCAACCTGGAAAGTGGTAGCGCATGTTTTTAGTCCCAGCACTTGGGAGGCAGAGGCAGGCAGATCTCTGTGAGTTCAAGCCAGTCTAGGCTACAAAGTGAGTTTCAGGATAGACAGGGCTGTTAAACCCTATCTTGAAGCCAACGAACAAACAAACCAACAACAAAAACTCTTCCATTATTCAGGGTCCCCTTTTTAGAGAGACTCTTCCTGAGGACAGCCCCAAAATATTTTCTTTCGTCCTTGAGCCTGTTTCTTTGACAGCTTGATTTTTGGGTAGCACAAGCAAAATTTTCGGAAAACTGGTGCAAACAGACATTTGAAATCTCAGATTTTTAAATCATGGTATGTTAAGGAGACCTTTCCAAGCTGTTGTACACTGACACTCTTGTGTAACAGTAAGGTCTTGGAGTATTGCCAAAAGGGACATCCTAGCACTGATCCATGCAATTCATGTGGCATGGGGACCAAGGAATGGCTCCTATGATTCAACAGGGATGGGAACTCTGGAGAGCTTGATATAACCTCTCATTTACAGCCTGAAAAACTGGAGTCCGGACATCATGGGGGGCAGTGCCCCACAGTCAGGTAAATGTAGCACCAGCATGCTGAAGTTGTTTGACACGTGACACTAGACTTAAACTTTCAGACATCCATCTCACTGACGAGTATCCATATCTTCATCTAAAGAAGCTCAGAAGTTTTTTCATGTCAAAGCCTGAGGCTTTATAACTGTAGTTTCATTTCTCTAGTAAATTTGCCCTTTGCAAATGAGTTTCTATAAATGGATGCTTGTAGTCACCCACAATCAATAGTATCTCAAGCAAAAACACAAAATTCAGAAGGCAGCATGACAATGTTTTGTTCTTTTCATTTGTGGTCCCCCAGGGTCTTCTGGAACCTCGGTTAGGAATTTAAGTTGTACCACAAACACTGTCATGAGTAGCCACACCCACTTAAGACCATACCAAGTGTCTCTTCGTTGCACCTGGCTTGTTGGCAAGGGTGCCCCCGAGGATACACAGTACTTCCTATACTACAGGTCAGTATTTATTTTTACTTATGCAAATTATCCATTTCCTCTTTCCTTATAAAAATTCATGGGTATTCCAATTCAGGTTTGGTGTTTGGACTGAAGAATGCCAAGAATACAGCAGAGATGTACTAAATAGAAATACTGCATGCTGGTTTCCCAGGACATTTATCAACAGCAAAGGGTTTGATCAGCTTGCAGTACACATTAATGGCTCAAGTAAGCATGCTGCAATCAAGCCCTTTGATCAACTCTTCACTCCGCATACCATCGGTAAGACAGGTTTATCCCAACATGGGCATAATGGAATAGCATAGTCTTGGCATTGCAAAGGGTCTTGCTACCTTTCAAATGTTAAACAACCATCTAACCAACATAAGAAAAAACTGAGAGAGGTCCCAAATGTGTGCCATGCCCTATACAGGGCATGGCAAGATGTTTAGTAGCATTATTGGCCTCTAGTCATGAGTTATCCAAATTTTATGTACCCTACTGATTCCCTATCCTGAGTTTTGACCAAATCACATCTCAAACATATCCTTTTGAGGGTAGAGTTCTCCCTGTTTGAAAATGACTGCAGCAGGAAAAGTAAACTCATGCTTTAAGAGAAGTCACGGCCGTGTTCATCTGTTCCAGCTGCTTTCATGAAATGTCTGTCCGCTGGTTTTGCAGAACAATTCTTAGCCTTTTCCCCAAGGTGGGGTTCCTTGGCAGTCAAAATGTTTTCCATCATGGAGCTCTTCTTTCAAAGTTCACAATCTCCAATCCTATTTAATTCTTCATAGTGTTTTGGACTCATCTCTAGACTTTTAAACAATATGTCCACAGGTCTCCCTTCTCCTCTCCTCCATCTTCTTCTTACCTTCTCCACTCCTTTCTTCCTCTCTCATTTTTTATATGTGTCTCATTTTTTATATGTGTAGTGTATGTATTTGTGGAGGTATGCTTGTCCATACAGAAGCCTGGGATTACCGTCAAGACCTCTTCCTCACTTGCATTTCCACTTTATTTTGTGTGGAGTAGAACCTTTCACTGGATCTGGATTTTGACATTTTGGGTAGACCAGCTAGCTAGCTAGTGAGACCCTAGGAGCCAGGTAATTCTACCACACAACCACCAGCAGCAGCTATAGCATTACAGCTCTTTTCATCTGGGTGCTGGGAACCCAAAATCAGGTCCTGGTACAAGTGTGAAAGCTCTTTACTCCTGTAAAGACATATTTAGCTCAATCTATTCTTTTTATGCAAGAGTTTCTTGTTCTATCTGACCAAACCATACAAAACAACAATAGCAAAATATAAACCCTGAAGCCAGAAAGCAGAAGTGTTTTACCCAGAGTTATCTCCCTGATATGAAATGGAGATGGGGTACTTGGTCCTTGTTCTCTCCATTAGTTTAACTTGGAAAGTGAAAGGAATTCTGGGTACACCTTGCAATGAGCTGACTGGGGAAAGGAGTTAATCAATAACTTCCATTTAGAGTGCTGATTGCTGTTCTTTGTATGTGTAAGTCTATTCGGCACAGGCATAACAAGAACCTCATGGGAAGCCACTCACTTCCTGTGGCTTTGAGATTAGTTAATTGAGACCTAATGGTAAACCTTGAAAGGAGCATATCTTAGAAATGGTGGCTTGGGGCTACCAGTCCTGATCACTGATTGTACAGACTTGTCACTGTCTTTTCCTCCTCTTACCTAGATCAAGTAAACCCTCCAATGAATGTCACAGTTGAGATTGAAGAAAATTCTCTCTATATCCAGTGGGAGAAACCAGTTTCTGCCTTTCCAGTCCATTGCTTTAATTATGAGTTGAAAATTTACAACACAAAGAATGGTTACTTTCAGGTAATTCTTCATATCGTTCTAGTATTCCATGATAGACATTTATTATTCGTGGGGCATTTAAAACAATGGTTCTCAATCTTCCTAATGTTGTGATTTTTGATACAGTTCCTCATGTTGTGTTGATCCTAACCATAAAATTATTTTCATTGTTACTAGTAGTTTTGCTACTGTTATGAATCATAATGTGAATATTTTTGGACACATGGGACACATTTTTGCCAACGGGATCACCACCCACAGGTTGAGAACTTCTGATTTCAAAGTTTCAGTACTGAGTGCTCTGATTTTTTTAAAGTGCCAGAAAAGCCAATGTTGACTTATATCTGCCCCAGCTATTGGAGAAATAAATAAAATCTTACAGGACTTTTATTTCGAAAGTGTTTTGAAAGAACATACTTTGGGTTGAAAATAATACAAAAGGTAAAATGAAACTCATTTGTAAGAGCTTTGCTAAAACTACAAATGATACAACTACTACGGAAATTGAGAAGGCAAGTTTTCCAACAGTTAGAATTATCCTAAGAGCCGATAATTCTACTTCTAGGTATATATGCAAATGATTTCAAAACAGAGTCTCAAAAAGATACTTGAACCCCTACGATCATAGCAGCATTATTCGCAACAGCCAAGAGCTGAAGCCACCCCAATATCCAATACCACAAGTCAGGCTTGTGGCACATATCTCTGATTCCTGTACCCAGGAGGGAGGCTGAGAGAGCAGGAAAGCTGCAAATGCGAATCTAGTCTGCACTGCACTACATAGCAGGATTCTTATCTGAGAACAAACAATCCAAACCTCCAAACCTACAGAACGTGACTAGAAAAAGAAAATGTCATATATACATATACATGCACGTTCACACGAAGGGCTACTGTTCAGTCTTTAAAGGGAAATTCTGATAGATACTGCTATGTGAATGAACCTAAGGACAGCAAGCGAAGTGAAATAGACAGTGCACAAAGGGCAAATAGAATGTGATTCTGCCTTTATGAATTGCCAAAGGTAGTAAAACACATAGAAGCAGAAGGGAGTACAATGGATGCCAAGAAATGGGGAATGAAAAATGAGAAACCGTTGTCTAATGGAAACAGATTATTGGCTGGTGGGAATTGAACCAACGGTCTCATGCATGCAGAGCATGAGCCATACCACCAACCAGGAACCTCTCAGTCTTGCAAGATGAAAAGTGGTTGCAGTCTGGTTGCACAATAGCGTGGCTGTTTAACATTTTCTGGCCTGCACACTTCAGAACAGTGCAGAGGGCATATCTTATACCCATGGAGCTTTATTATGTTATTTTATATCTTGTCCACAATAACTTTTGAATAATTATGTTTCCCATTTTATTGGCAAGTAAGGGCTCCCCTCCCCCCCAAAAAAAGATGAATAACATTTCATAGTCAGAAACCTAAAGGAAAATCAGAGAAGTCAGGATTCAACCTCCTGTCTTACAGATAAAAGAAACCAAGAGCCTGTGGGATGACTCAGTTGGTAAAGGCACTTGCTGCTAAGAATGTTCTCCTGGGTTCGATTCCTGGAGCCCCCACAGTAAAGGAAAGAATAGGGTGCCTCAAGCTGTCCTCTCACCTCCATCTGTGTGCTATGGTATACATGAACATATACAAATAAATAAATGTAAAATTAATTAAGAGACAAATAAACACAGTTTAATTAAATTTAGCCAATACCTACAAATTGTTTGCTTGGGGTAGTACATAAAGAGAAACAAGGCCTTGTTTTTGCAGTCTGGGATGAATCATCTCATATGTGCTATTAACTTTAAATTATGTGTCAAATCATGGGGCACATTACTTTCATGTGAGCTGCCAAGCTGGTAATTCACATAAAAATTAATGGCTACATAAGATTGCTCTGGCAAGTAGCATCAGAACCTCCCTACCATAGGAAAGATCAACATAATGCAGAGGAAAGAAGGACAGCCTTTCTGCCTCCCCAGCGTAGCACTGAATGCAGCCTGGGGGTTAGGGGTTAGAAAGAAACTTGCCTACTGAGGAAACAAGAGAAGGATGTCATAGTGTATACTTACAGAAATAACCTCTGTGAAGGACCAGCCTTCTTTTGTAAATTTCTAATCTACCACTTTCACAAAACACATTAAAAGAAACAACTAGAATAAAACATATAGCCAAAGATAGGAAAATACAAACCAACTGCTCATGTGCTTATCTGTCACAGTAAAGTCCAACGGCTCTCCCAGTCTTTCAACTGATCTCTCACTGTCTGTATTGATCTTATCATCGACCAGTAATCAGTGCCACTGACCAGTGCCAATCCACAAGCACACTGTGCCTGGTAGGGGTGTGAGGAAAAGGAATAACTCAGAGGCTTGGGAATTCATGCTTCCTTCAGCCAAGTGGTAGTGACTGAGCTGGCCTGAACACAAGCCTATCATTAGACCTGTAACCCTGTACCTTACTGTGGCTCTCTGAGGTTTTATTACAAGCCAAATGCATCTATTTTAAAGCCACAGCCATGGGCAATGCACCAAAGGATTTTACATGATAGAGAAGTGTAGTGTTGTCAGCGTAGAAGGGTAATCTTGGCAGAAGTGTGAAAGTTGGATGTGACTGGGGTCCATGTGGATACAGGGATATGAGCTGCTAGAACAGCCTAAGCAATAGATTAGGAAAGTCCACTCAGGCTGTGGTCATTGGGTAGGGCTGAACAGGTACAAATTACATGCTGTCTAGGGCTGTGACTTAGCAATGTAGAAGGGCAAAGTAACAGAGATTATGTATGCCTCTGAAGGTGACTCTAATTTTCCATATGAAACAATTTATCCACACAGCATTACCTAGCCCTTCAGCTGACCAATTTTATGTATTTTAGTTGCAAGATCACTTTCTCCCTCGGGGTAACTGCCAAGATATTGCTCTGGAACTGTGTAGAATAAACTCTTGACTATGCCCTATTGATTTTAGATTACTTTCTAAATAATGAGTCACATTACCTACGTGTGACCTCTCAAACTGGTGTTTCACATAGATTATATGTCTAGGCATTATTGTAATGTTAATTTTCCCATTTAGGTGGAAAACCTGACCACCACCAAGTTCATATCAAAAATTGATGATGTTTCTACATATTCCATTCAAGTGAGAGCAGCTGTGAGCTCATCTTGCAGAATGTCAGGAAGCTGGGGAGAGTGGAGTCAACCAATTTATGTGGGTGAGTCCCTATTGTGTATTTAAAAGCAGTGGCAACAAATGATCCTGGAAAGTGTGCATGTTCACTCAGGTCTTAAGATGGCTTCATCTTTACTATGCTTCATCTTCCATCCATCTACTGTGTCGTCAACTGGACATGGGTGTTCTAGGAAGCCTAATTGCCCTGCTTTCTTCCTAGCACAAGCCCTTCCCAGGCCAATTTTATTTTTTCCAATTATTGCTTATAGTTAGATTTTTGTTTTTTGTTTAATTTTTAATTAATTTATATTTTTATAAATTAGTTATTCACTTTGTATCCCCACTGTAGCGCCCTCCCTCATCCCCTCCCAATCCCACCCTCCCTCCCTAATCTCCTCTCATGCCCCTCCCCTAGTCCACTGATAGGGGAGGTCCTCCTCCCCTTCCCTCTGATCCTAGCCTATCAGGTCTCATCAGGACTGGCTGCATTGTCTTCCTCAGTGGCCTGGCAAGACTGCTCCCCCCTCAGGGGGAGGTGACCAAAGAGCCAGCCACTGAGTTCTTGTCAGAGACAGTCCTTGTCCCCATTACTAGGGAAACCCACATCGACACTGAGCTGCCATGGGCTACATCTATGCAGGGGTTCTAGGTTACCTCCAAGTATGGTCCTTGTTTGGAGTATCAGTCTCAGAAAACATACATGTGTCCCGTTTTTGTGGTTCTGTTGCTCTCCTTGTGGAGCTCCTGTCCTCTCCAGGTCTTCCTATCTCCCCCTTTTTTCACATGTTTTACTTTCACCTGTGTTGTGTATATATTTACTCATGCATGAGTGTGTACACTGTGTGTGTACTCGCTAGCACGAGCATGTGTGTGCAGGTATTTGCACTGTGTGTATTCATGGAGAGCAAAGGAAGATGTCAGGTATCCTGTTTTATCATTCTCGGCCTTGCTCCCTTCAGACAGGGTCTCTTGTTGAACCTGGAGCTAGCCTGGTATCCAGTAAACCCCAGAAATTCTCCAGCCTCTGCCTCCGATACTGTTGTTTATACAGGTCCTCAGGCAGCTACACTTAGGTTTTCGCATGGGTGTGAAAAATTTGAACTTAGTCCCTCACACTTGCACAGCAAGCACTCTTTTTCCTGCCCAAGTATTTCCCCAACCCCTAATTATTTAGGGTACACTTTTTTATTTTCAGATAATTGCAGATTCAAAAGATGTAAAAAACAGAGATCCAACCTTCATTTGACCTGTTTCTCACAATGGCAACATCTTCCAAAATCTGCAGTATAATTCTAAAACTACAAAATTGGCACTGAGGACCCCTCCATCTTTGTCAGAGCCTATGTATTTAATGTATCATTAGTTGTGTACCTTTAGTCTTATGCAGAAATAGCATTCGTGTCACAGCTCAGTCGAGATGCAAAGCAGTGCACTGTACAATTGTTCCATTTAACTTTTTAAATTACACCCATCCTCTTTTGTTCCTCATCTCTAGCCCCTGGAAAGAATTAACCTAGTTCCCATCACCATAATTTTGCCATACTCAGGTGTGAATTTATATATTTGTCTCCTTTGTAAAAGATTTTAAAATTGAATATTTGTGTCCATGAAACCTGAATCCATCCCTGAACTGGCCTAACAGCCAGTATACAGTTCTAGTGATTTAGGTATCTAATGGGCATCTATGTTGGTTATGATCAAATTGACTGGTTTATTTGGTAAATGAGTATCATCCATAACAAGTAACAGGGAATTGATAGCAATTATGGTTAAAGGGGTGTCTTTCTTGGACAAAGAAAATTACTGGTTCAAGTAGATATTTGCAAAACACTGTGCTAGATGATTTTCATGTATTTGCTTAGTTAAATATAGAAAGACTTCAGATAAGGGTGCATATTTGAAAAGCTTAGGTCATTTGCTTACCTCTGCCAGCATCAGAGGTGGGGTGAACCCTAGGTTAACTTATTTTTAACACTCTGTCATGGTGTGATAGGACCGTGCTTAAGGGAGGTTACATCACCTGTCACAAAACCTGTGGGATATTCCAGAACAATTTAGACAGAATACTCAGGGAGAAATTTCTTTCAGGCATATTATAAAAATTTCTACTCAAGTAATTCATTCACTTGGGCTACCAGGTGGGTCCTTGGGCAATAGCCAAATTCTTGGGCAGTGACCCATTATCCTGTGTGGTATGAGTCAGAGCCGATACTTATCAGGCACATTTCCAGGGAGACAGTAATGGCTGAAGGGCTCAAGAGGTGGAGTGTAGATCTGGGTCTGTAAAAGGGCTGATTGTGCTAGCCTACGGGAGAATGACGCCCCCTACAGTTGTTCAATATATAACCAACACTGCCTTGTGCTGAAGCTCTGACAACATTAGAGGGTGGGAGAGGTGGGCTCAGGGCAGCAACATGGGTTTCCTGGGGGGAGAGGAACTGAAAGGCCAGTATAGGGAACTGAAAGTTGGACAGACTCACCTACTTCATAATTTTGCTGAGGTGAATCTTCCTCTCCCTCCCTTTCTCCCCAGGTTGACACGGCAACTAAACTAAACTGACCTGGTACATACAGGACCTCTCTCAAAAAATGCTTCATTTTCACAAATAAAACTTGCTCTATGCCCCAAGAGAAAACCAAAAGACTCATCAATCTCAGGGAAATTGTCAACTCCTGTGCCAGATGCTTTTTTTATTTGTATTCCATGGATTGATTTTTACAAAATGTTTTGCGTTGTTTCTTAAGTGCATGAACCTCATTGGTCTGAAACTACTGATGCTTCTCATTGTTGTCCCAACATAGCAACCTAAACAAATTTAGGGGAAAAAATATAATATGGACCAAGAGACCTTAGATAAATATGGTAGAGAACAAGGTCAGGATGAGAAGAAGCCAATAGTGTTTGTTGAGTGGTTGAGTTCTGAAGTCATAGTCAGTGTTCACTCTTGACACTTTAGAACTTAAGAGGGTGAGGAAGCAGCAGCAGCAAACAAAATCAGGAGACATGAATTTTAACCATGGCTCTGGCAATGTGTAGTTCAATAAACCAAGTTAGAGATGGCTCAGTAATCGGTGAACACAGTACATTGTGGAGGATTCTGAGAATAAACTCAGTTGTAAGGGCAAGTGACCATCTTTGCCAACACATGGAAGACTGAATGAAGTACCATGCCAGCCTGGGTTTTGCTACTCAGAGCTAGTTCTGAACACCTTAACTTTCTGGGCCTCACTTTCCTTACTCTTCATTCCCTGCTTGCTTCTAACTCTGCCATTCTTGCTGCTCCACTCTCTAACACTCACCACCAAGTGATTGGGAGTAAGATTGTGATCTATCTTGAGAGTTTATTTTAAGGTTGCTTTTAACATTATTCACTTTCCACTTTTCAGGTCTCTTACCGTTGCCTAAATAACTGCTTCCAGGCTTGGATCTGGCCTCATTAGATTCCCCACCCCCACCCCAGGTGCATCTCATTGCCTTTCGCTACTGCAAATCCCATTCCATTTATTGCCACCCATTTCATGAAGATGAGCTGATTAATATTAGTGCTTCCCTTATAAATCCATCCTTTCTGGAATTTACTCCCCTTCTCAGTTTAGGATCATTAGTGAATTTAATCAATGCAGACCCTCGGTTTTCATCTAGATGATTAATAAACATAATAGGAAGTCCGAGCCCCTCAGGGACATTTTGCATGGCTCTTCCTTACCCCTGGTGGATGCAGTAATAATTATGCTCACTTGCATATCTATTAGGCAGTTTTGTTGCTATGTTCATTTTCTTCAAACACTCTTCATTCTCTCCTATCTTGTCTTAGAAATGGCCCCTGGGAGCCCTCCTGAATTTTCACTAGTGGGCCCCAACTGAATATCATCCATGCCTTTGATATTATGTTCACCCCGTTATTTTAATTAAGGTAAGGAAATGGAGATATTAAATGACTCAGTCATTGTCAAGTAGCCAAGAAGTGGCTATTAATGAGTAATTTCCTCAAATAAGTGACATATGAACCAATTAGCAAATTAGAATAGTTTAAATTAACTAATCAACCCATTATAGCCCAAGGTTATTTTAGAGAGAGAGAGAGAGAGAGAGAGAGAGAGAGAGAGAGAGAGAGACATAGAGGAAACTGGATTGATGGTGTAGAGAGCTGGGGTGGGAGGAGGTGATTTCCGCTCTAGTTGGCAAGATCCTTGGTTAGTCCAATAGGCACAAGGGATATACATGCAATAACAGCAGAGCCAGCAAATAAGCTCTCTTTATCTCCTTGAGATTTGCCTTGAATCTGCCCTCTTGCCCTGGGATTTTCAGAGTTCTCCTCCTCCTCTTCTTCGTCCCTCTCCTCCTCCTCCTTCCCCTCCACCTTCATTTATGACAGTAGTTTTGTTCTATCAGTACTCATCATCAACTGCCCTCCATCAGCTAGCTTCTGCTTTAAACGCTGAACTTCCCAATTTTGAAAGTCTTTCTCCTTCTCAAATTTGAAGTTCCGGATTCTTCTGTTCTGTTATCTCTGCCATCTCTTGTTTACTGAAGACTTCTGGGTTCTGGACCCCAGTCCCTGGAGCTTTTTGTTTTTTGTTTTTTGTTTTTTTTATGTCTTCTTTTCTCTTCCACTCTGTGACATTCAAGTACTGAGAGTGAAATTAGCAGTTATAGAAATCAGTGTTTCTCAGGTGCATCCTCCACCCTGGAAATGAGAATGCTGGCTGCATTATTTGTAGCTGTGCCCTTGATAGGATCTGACCTGTTTCTTGGTAAGAAGTGAGATTGACGATCAGCAGACTCGACAATGGTTCTCAACCTGCGGGTTGCAACTCCCTTCTAGGTCACATCAAATATCCTGTATATCAGGTATTTACATTACAATTCATAACAATATCATAACAGTTATGAAATAGCAAAAGAAATAATTTTATGGCTGAGGGTTGTCATAACGTGAGGAACTGTATTAATGTGTGGCAGCACTGCCTTATGTGAACAATGGGTTTGTTCACTCTCACTGAGGGCTGTATCTGTCACTCAGTACCTGGTATTATGAGAAG